GCTAAAAACATTCAATTCTTGATAAGGAAATCTTCATTCACGTCTACTAGAAGAAATTTTTGAAAAGCGTATTCACACACTATTACCCTTAGAAATTTTAAATTCATTCACTTTCAAGTCCTGATATATCAAAAGTCACGTGAATCGCTCTCACCTCAAAGAACTTGTTTACCCAAATAGTAAACATTTTACTAATACTAAATGAATTATTGCCAAAATTAACAAGGATAGATGATAATTTGGCTAGTTCAGGTGTATCTGGATCTTTCTAAAGGGTTCAGTGGTTCCAGCTACATAGCCCCTAACTTTTTATGTAAATAAATATCGATTATTTTATATAAGAAACATTTAGGGTGGTGCTTCCAAAGTCAACTCGGAATTTATACATTATGTGTTCAAACTCGAATTCGTAAATTTCAATAATAAATTAGTTTTTTTAAAAATAAAATTTTGACTTGGTTGCACCATTAAACATCAGAATAAAACACAAATTAGTAGGTTTAGAATTGATTATAAATGGTTTAATTCACAACTTAAATTAAAAGACCCATTATATACACAAAATAGGAATGAAAGATGTAACGCATTGATGATCTATAATTATTATAAATCAATATCGCACATTTATGTAATTAGTGCAATCATTCATTCCATTCATATTTTTGTTATTTAGTCCAAACAATTATTTCCTCCTATGATATATAATCTATCTCGTGCAGTCGGCAAAAGAATTTTTTTTTAATGTTGATTGCCAATATGTGTAAATACATATTTAGAAATACTTTATGTCATAAGGAACTAACTATGTTAAATTGTCTATTTTTATTGGAATGCTTTATTTGTCAATTTTTAATTTGTATCATAGCCATAGCCAAGATTGTAATTACATGGTTGTATAATCATGGGCGATTCTGGCTTTTTGTAAGGAGGGGGGGGGTTAATAGATGCTAAGATTTCTTAGCGACGTGTAAGCCACATTGTAGCTTAACTCCTCATTCACAATTATCTTATTATTTCCCCGCAAATTCGCCCTAACTGTGAATGAGGGGATACATGGATATTATCTTGATAATTTTGTATCGATAGATTTACGGATAAAATCAAGTATAATGATATATTATATTAATATTAATAATCACAAATTAATTGATCATAAAGGATTAAATTTTTTTCTTTATTATATTCGGTTTTGGTTGAGGTTGGTCTTGGTTAATGTTTTATATGAGGAAAAAAACGATATTCTTCTGATATTTTACTTTTGTCCTTTTAACTTTTAGCGCACTATACTCAAAATTATTTTTAAATATTTGAAATTATTCTTAAATATTTAACATATTCTTCGCCGAACTTTTTATTTTTTTGCCCCTTCACTTTTATAATTCATTTTTGAAAATATTTTTATGGAATTTAATTTTCGAATCGTATTCGACGAATCAAATCCATTAATGTTTTTATTTTCTTACAAATATGAATAAGGAATTATCGAGATTCGAATACGAATAATGCAAATATGATTCGTATTTCGTAGTTACACTAAGACTTAACCTCTAAATCTTGACATTCACATAATGGATAAAATTTGAAATGATAATATTATATTCAAAAAACTTCAATAACAAAACTCATTGTCTTAATATTCTTCACGGCTTCTAAACAATAGAAATATATCGGATTATAAAAAAAATTTCATTACCATTAATTATAATTACAACTATAATTGTCAATTTCGTTTCGATAAGGTAACTCCTTTTTTCTTCTTCATTCATTCTCTGCGTAAAAAACTTATGATTTTTTATTTTGTAACATAATAACAAAGCATTCCAAATATTTAAGATTTTTCAAAAAAAACATTTTAATTTTCCAACCTTTATTTTTTAAAAAAATGAAATATATAAAGTAAAAACCCATCTTCATTTAAATTTATGGATTATTTATTTTAAGATCACCTTGTAATTATACTATTGGAAATTGGAGTGAAATAATAATTATTAATAAAATAATAGTCATAATAATGATAATAATAATAACCGCCCATATTAATTAATATTCATGATATATTTAAAAATTTATTACAATCTCCGATAAAATAAGTAGGTTTATATTTTTTTGCAAGTATCAATGAATATCGATTTTTATTTGTGTAACCTCAATCACATTTCATATTAGATATTGTTTCTTCGCTCGATAGGATAAAAAATAACAAAATTTTACCTTTGGAAAAACACAATAATATTTGAAATGCATTCTTTGAAAATTGTAAACGGAACAAGTTTAGGGATGGCACAAAGAAATTAACAACAGTGATTAAGTGCTCCACATGAGGATTATTATTAATTATTTTAGTTCTCAATATTTATTTTATTTGAAACATTTCATCCTTCAATCATAACGTATCTTGCCAAAAAAATATGATTTTTAAAAAAAAATAATAATAATAATATGTGACCTTTTATTTGTATTTTTTATAACGATTTTTCCACCCAATGTTTAAATTTTTAAGAGAATACAAAAATATATTGAAATAGAATCTCTCTTTAAATAAGATATAATAAATAAATAAATTTTATGTGGTATATGTCATAGATTTCACTATCATAATAATATTCAGTTGTTACTTTATTTTTCATTCCCCCCCCCTCCCCCAATAAATAAATAAATAAATAACAAAGTTATACAAAAAATATTTAAATATAATCACTATTAGAAGAAAAATTAAAATTATGTCAATGAATATTATTTAACATTCGATCGCGAATTTATATCGGGATAAATAAAAAAATATTTGCATAAATTATTCCATAATTTTCTTAAGGAAATATAATTAAATAATAAACAACGCTGGAGGGACATCATTCGAAGGATAAGGCCCCGGCCAATTCTTGCTTCAAATCGATCAAATGCTTCATATCAGACCATTTGACCACATTGAGGGAACTATTCTTCATCCTCTTGATTTATTTACTCATGAGATTGTTTAGATCTTTCGTATTTTCTTGCCCTTGCGGTCCCGAGCATGTTGATATAGGTACACCTAGGTTTAGGAATCTGGTAGTGGCTTCCATCCCAGGACTAAGAAACAGAAATACCTCCGATTATTATAGAGGGGACTATAGAAATGCGAATAATGAGAGATATGGTGGTAACGTTAATGATGTTAGATATGGTGGTAACATTAATGATGTTAGATATGGTGGCAATGTTGTCGAAAATGTTGGTAGCAATGTTGTCGGAACTGTTGGTGCCGGCAATCCTTACGAAACGTACGATAGTTTTACTAATTCCTCTGGTGTCTATAATTACGTAGTATACCGTAACCCTCCGAGAGGCTCATACCCTGCTGGTGGAGAAAGAGGACCGGGCGCTATCAGAATCAAGCCTTTGCAAGTTGCGAGGCCGATCCGGGACCTAAGACCTCGTTACCGCCTTAGACCGTTTAAATTATCGCCCGTCGAATATCTAAAGAATAGAAGCCATCATTGGGCTAATAGAAGGCTGAGGAGGATATATTCCCTGTTTTTTGTGTTAATTCCTGCTATCTGTCTCTTTTTATTAAGTGAGTTCATGACTAATTGATAAAAATTTTTTATCATATTAAAATTAACATTTGTATGAATTTACACACCGTATTGCCGACTGAGTCATGCCGCATTTACAGTAAGCACGAAACGCGACGTATGAGTTTACTATAAATTCTGCTTAAGTTTGTTAATTCTTTATATCTATTTTTTTTTCAAATTTTTCAGGAAGAATTTAATTATTGAAATATAAAAACCAATTTTTTTGCATTTCATATTTTAATAAACAACATAAATATTAGATTGGAATTTTAATTTAAAAATATTTTACACAAATCTTAATAGCCTGGCCACAAATAGCCGAAACATAATACTTTTAAAAAATTAGTTTTTGTGCAAATTCATAACCAGAAACTTTCATACTGGATGATGCCATTATTTTGTCAATACAATTTCTTTTTATACAATAGAAAAACGAAAATAAACTAATTAAGCAGTACTCAATAGTTTGGTATAAATTTCAGAATTAATGTTTCCAAAAGTTTGTTTGTTACGTTTGAAGCATGACGGCATAGTTATTTTTTCCATTTACTCTAAAATCAGGATCCGACGAGTAACCCGAGTTAACCGGATCGGTCTATGCTAGCTTTAATAATTATAGGGGGCACTGGGGTAGGATTGACGGTAACAATGTTAACGCGAATAACTTTTTAACCCTTGAACATAACCTTATATTTGGTGCGAAGATGTATTCTTTTTATATCTAATTTATTACCTATGTTTATCCTTAGAAAAACTTTCCTGGTTAGACATATTTTAAAAACCGTTTTTTATCCAAAGATTATAAAAATTACCCGCTAATTAATTTTGCTTTTAGCAATATATTGAGGCTTAGAATTTAATTTTATATACATTTTTCTTAAAGCCATAGCTACAAAATAAAATTTATCAGAAGTTTATAGACTTAAAGTCAGGCAAAAAGGAGTTGTACATAATATATCACCTTGTGTTTGGTTAAAACAGTTAAGGTGTGATTTAAGCTATAAAAAGATTATTTTTACCCTGGGTATGGGGTAAAATGACGAAAATGGCACACTTCACATAATTAGCTTCTAAGGGATTATGAGTAGAGAGTTTTCTATTTATATTTAGAATTTTTTTTAAAAAAAAAAGCTAAATAAAAACAAAAGGAAAAAAAATAATATTAAAAAAAATCCCAAATTAAGACCCCCCCCTCCACCAGGCTCGGTTGAAGGCCAGGTAAATTGTCTGGCTTAGAAAAATCATGGCTCAAAATACTTCTTTGCAAACCTTTACATATAAAGTATGCAGTTGATATAAAATATTTAAGAAAAGTAAAGAAAAAGCACGATATATTTTCAACTTTGTTTTTTTGTGTGACTTGGCAATATTTTTAAAATTTACTGATACGTTATGCGATTTATAATCGAAAAAAATAACTTAAATAAAGGAAATAAAAATATTTGCATCGGCCGGGAATTGAACCCGGGCCTCCCGCGTGGCAGGCGAGAATTCTACCACTGAACCACCGATGCTTCTGTGTTTCTAAAGAATTTTTTTATAATATCATTTCTTTTTATATAGAAAAATATAAATTGTAATTTGATTTTAATAAAACACAAAACATTAATAAAAATATTATGATTATATCACAGATGAAATTATGAGGGTTTACACATAAAAGACAATTATTATCTTATGGTTTTATTTTCATATGTCTAATATTTCAATGAATAAATATATTGCCCCTGTGAAAATGGAAAACATTCACTTTCTACAGTGTATAATAAATTTAAATACTACACACTTGAATTTTTACAAATACAAAACAAGTGATTCGATAAATTTAATAAACTTAAATGATGATTTAAATACAAGGAAACAATACTTTTTATTCAATCTTCAAATTAGCCATTAAAAAATAATTTATAGAATTTTAAATTAAATGATTCCAATGTTTTTTTTTACTTCTTAGAGACCCAAGATTGGCAAAATTTTTTTAAAAAATATATTTGTATACAAAAAATATTAAGAAATATAATAAAATAAAATTATTTATATATTTGTATTTATTTAAAATATAAAATAATATTTTTTAATACTTAAAGTATTAATTGTTAAAGTAATTAGTTACAGGGAAGTTAGTTATATTTTTGAGAAAAAAATAGCATTATTTAACTGTAACTAGTTAAATTTGGAATGTAAAAAAGGACAGAGGTTTCATGTTAAATATATATCCGTTTCCGTATTTATATGATGATCAAATTTGAAATTACTTTATAGTGTCTCACTCACATAAATCGCTCCTGTAGAACATTTGTTTAGCAGGAGCGTCACTAGCCTTAACAACTCAGGGGGCTCAAAATTTTCACCATTTTTTCAGTGTTATAAAATATTATTCAAAATTTTGAAGAGGCTCTTCAAATTTTTTTATGGGACTCGAGACCCCCCCCCCTCTCCCCGTGACGCTATTGTTGTTTAGTCTAAGAGCCTATTTTGGCAGAAAAACTAACACCTTAGACACACTCAAACTTTAAAAATAGTTAATTAAGAAAGTCAAATTAAAATATTAAACTCAATGAAAATTAAATATTATATTGTGTAAATTATATCAGAGACCTGTAGATGTACTATTTGCCTGGCCCTGTCCTAATTATTTTTTATAAAGACAATTTTGCGGATTTTTTTAAAAAAATAATCTTTCAACCAGGCCCAGATTTTTTAAAAATACTTTACATTTATTTTTAATATTTATAGCTTATAGTGGCCATTTAAAATATTCAGTTTTAGGTTATACGGCTCGGGTATTTTTTAAAAAAAAATTATACGCCCAACCCTGGTATTTTTTAAATTTTTAGGCCTGGCCCGGGTATATTTAAAAAAAAATTAAAATACGGCACGGCTGTACTGAACCTGAAGGTCTCTGATTTATATATTTGTTCACTGAAATATAAATATTGAATTATTTGTGATTTATTTTAATATAATAAAGTTTTATTTTAAACTTAATCATTTCTTTAAAACTAAATTGTTATCATTCAATTACCTTTGATTACAATTTGTAAACATTTTATCAGAGACCTGCAGGCCCAGCCCTAAGCCCGGTCCGGCCCAAGTACCAAGGCCGGGCCGTATTTTAAATTTTTAAAATATACCCGGGCCGGGCCTGAATTTTTTTTTTATTATCTTTTTAAAATACCAGGGCCGGGCTGTATTTTCTTAAAAAATTCATACAACATGAATTATTTTATTTGTCAATTAGATATGGTTATAATGATTATGTATAGTTATGATTAATATAATGTTTGGTGAAAGTTAAACACTAGCTAACACTCATAATCTGCCATGGAATAAATACGCAAAGGATTAAATACATTAATATATAATATGTTATATTTTTTATTAATTAAAATACAGTTTTTTTTTATAAATACAATATATTCTCAAAATATCATTTACACAAATTTTTTATAAATACAATTAATATAGTATATTCTCAAAATATCATTTACACATTTCAAAATCGGCTCAAAACGAGCCGTTTAACAACATTAGCTAATATGCATGGTTATTAAATGATAATACTCGCCGAAAAATATGATAAAATACCAAATAGACGTATTTTTAGTATACCAGGTCGAATATAATTTTAAAAAATTACGAGCCGAGCCTAAAAAAATTTTTTTTTGTTAAATATCCTAGCCGGGCCTAAAAAATTTAAACCCGGACCGGGCCGTAAAAAATTTTTGAAAAAAAAATCCGGGCCGGGCTGTACAAATGGTACCTCTACAGATCTCTGCATTTTATATAATAAAAAAAACATATGTTAAAAATGATTGTGGCATATCATATAAAACTAGAAGAGTTTTACAAAATAGCTATATAAGAAATTTTGGAATTGGACCTGCTTGAACTTTTGTCTGTTATAATTTTTTATCTTCTTTCAAAAACCTTGATATATTTTTTTCAAATAACATAAAATTTATTGTTAGGTATTCATTACTTGGAGGATATTTTAACCCATTTCATGTCCCAGATTTTTTAATGCACTCATTATAGTTTAAAAATTTGGTGATTCTAAACTATTTTGGCTGATTGAACATGTGAAAGTGACTTAAAATTATTTTAAGAACACCATCAATTCAGAAAATCTATAATTCAAATTTTTATAAAAATAATCCCTTGGGTTATAGGAAACATGTTTCCTGGGATTTCACCTGTGTTTCCGTTTTTTAGTTATTTTAACACCATTTAATCCTTATGGCTGTAATTTCTTATAATTTTAGAAAATTTGCTCAGGAATATTTTCTTAATATTTTCCAATGAACGGTATTCCGAAGAAATTTTCGAAGGAGCCCTTTATATATATTTTTTTAAAAATCACCTTGTACTTCTTAAATATTTGTCTAAAGAATTTAAAAATTACTTGACTAAGCCAGACTCTACTTTGCCTAAGATCTGAGAAACTGATTTACAGCATAAACTCAACCAATATTGTGCCTCATAATTCCTGCAAATATTCATCTTTCGGCGATGCACATTATAATAATGCACTAAAAAAAATTAAATTAGTTTGAACTATTATACCAAACGATAATTTAATTATTATATAATCTAGACACTTCTAGGTCTAGAAACTCGGACTGGAACTGAACAAAAGATAATTTTTTTAATCCAGGCCAGTCTTAAAAGTAAAATATTACAAACCCCGGCTGGGCCTAAAAATTTTTTATTACAAAGTCTGGGTAGGGCCGATGGAAAAATAGAAAAAAGAATGATTAAAAATGTCAGCAATATAAAAGTTCTGGCTTGCTTCAAACTTCATAAAATTTTACCATTTTATCTAATGTAAAACGTTTATAAAAATCTTACTCTAGAATTCAGGCCACTAAAGAATTAATTTTTTGCTCACCAAAATATATCTTGAATTAATTTTCTTACCCTCAATGCATTCAGATATCTAAAACATATTATTTTATTATATATAAAATGATCATTTTTCAATTGACCATATATAATATAGAATTATGCATGAGAAGTGAAATTTGGAAAGCTATAACCGGTATGTGCAAACGAAGGGTTGATGAAGGGCAAGTTGTTTACGTTGATGAACCAAATAAGTCAGGGAAAAAAGTAAAAAGTGCTTTCAACATGGGTCAATTTGTTAAGTTTAAGCTACCTCACATCGCAAAAATTTTATTATTAGCCACGATTCCTGCTTTTGAATGGATCATTCTTTGCTTAATGGATGGAAGGTAATTAAATTACATTAATACAAAATCTACTATATATCTTTTTCGATAAAGTTTTTTGCAATATATATAAGTAATTGTGACATAAAGTAAACTCTATAATCCATTAAGTATTTTATGCCATTACCCCCCCCCCCCCTAGAAAAAGGGCAAAAACGATATTTACTAATTGAACGTAGAAATATATAAAAGACAGGATCGTAACTATGGGTTCATACACTTATAAGTGATGGTAATAAGAAAAATAAATATCTCAGAAAAAATATTTCTCTAGTTAGGGCTTTGAAAAGGAAGCAGACTTTTTAGAGAGCATAAATGAACTGACGTTTTTAGTTTATGCACGCAAAGTATAATATACTCAATTTTAATAAATTATATGCAAAGATTCCTGAGATGTGGATATGCTATGAAACCATGCGACCCGAATCATCAGCATAGCAAAGAAGTGAGATCCAAATCTCAAATGATTGGATGGCTCTTAATATTATCACTTGCCCTTTTCTTCATTCTTGGTAAATAAATTATTGACTAAAATTATTTCGCTCAGAATAAAAACCGAAACATTCAGAATTTTTTTTCCTTAATTGCTTAGAATTAAAAAAAAAAATAAGCTAAGAATTTTTACTGAATTTCACAGGCATTTTTCTTAAAATCTAAGACTATTTTCTGAGCCTTACATAGCTCTGAGCGATTCATTTTTTTAACTGAACGTTTCATTTTTATACCTTAGTAACTAATATTTTTTCTTAGAAATTAAGTTTTTTATCTTCGTATTAAAAAATAATTCTTATTCAGTATTTTTTCTGGGCATTAAATATTTATTCTAAACATTTAGGCTGTGTCATGATTCGACTTATTTTTTTAAACTTATTGCTGTTTAGCCTGGGTTAAAAACAATTTTTGAACTAGGGCACTCTATTTTGGTTTGTTTTAAGTATTTGATGGCATTGTTATTTATAATTTTATTTGTTTTTTGTTTTTGTTTTTATTTTTTTGTTTTTTTTTTGTTTTCGTTTTTTTTAATTTTTTTTTACTTTTTAGGTTATTTAGTCGAAACCAGCCCAGGACACGGCCTTAAGGATTTTTTTTCTAAGAATTTCAATTTTAATTTTAATTTTGAGCGATTAAATAGGAGCCTAAATTATTTCTGTATAATTTAATGGGAAAATATTGTGCAATCAGTTTTTATTAATTATAATACAAAAAAAATAAAGTTAAAATAAATAGTCCTAATATAATCTACATATATTTTTAAAATATAAATCTACTAGCAAAATTGTTAAAATCGATATGCAGTAGAAGGAACTACTTCGAGGAGCGCTTTGCTAATATCTATAAGAACAAAGAAGCAAATGAGATAGAGAGAATATCCCGAGTATAAATAATAACTTATAATTAACAAATAGGCTATGAAAAGTTTAGAATTAATTCTTTTAACTTGCGATTTTTACACCCTAAAATTTTATATTCTTTAAAAAGTTTTAAAATTTAGGACTATGTTTTTCTATTTTATAAATACATCGTTGACATGGTATCGTCATATCAACCTTTTTTTTGATATATGGAATCACGAATAACTCTCCTGCCGCGAATGGGAGGAAGAGGATATGTTTTAAGAGAGCTAGATAACATTTTATAATTAATTTTCAACAAATAAAAAGAAAAATGCTAACCACATGGCAGTCAAGAATGTGAACAAGTACTATGAAAATCAAGAAAAATCACCCAGATGGTGGGAAAAATTGGGCCCATCCCCTCACCTTGAGGAGCATTACGGAGGAACACCTTACGTTGTAACGAATGACAACGTTAACCTGGATAAGACTTACAAAATCAAAGGTAATAAAAACCCTATTGTTGGTGATATAAAGGATGAAGAGAAAAGATTCCTCACTCATTCACCCCCTTCGACCCCTGTTACCTTACCTGCTGAAAATATCACTTATAATGTAAACAGACCCGCTGATGATTATTATAAACAATAATTAACTATATTATTTTATTAAGACACACATCCATTTCTTTATATATTTTAGTTTTCAACTACCTCTACATCTGGATAAATTTTTATTTAAAATTGATTGTATCTAGAAGTGACAATTTCTTATTTATTATTATAATCCAACGATTTTTTCTTTACTCAGAGATTTTTTAAACAATATTTTTAGATTTTTAATTATAAATGTATAAAATAATGAAATCTAATCCCATATATTATTTTGATATATATTGTGGTTGTCAGTTTTTTTTAAAAAAAAATTGTATTTTAAAATGTAATTAGTGCGATATAATTATTTTTTTGTGTTTAATTTTTAATATATTATATTTAAACCGTGGCATCGTTAAGTGGAAGTGCAGGGAGAAGGGGCTCATCTCCCCCCCCCCCACCCCTTTAAAAAATGATGGTGAGCCCTTCCATATCAATCCTTCTAAGATTTAAAATATGATTAGGCCCTCCTATTTTTTTTGAAAGTTGTGAAATTATATTTTATGATTTACATTAAAGATTTGTGAAACTTTTTCTTTCCTTTTTTTTTATATAAAAGACGAAAAAAAAAATTCACCTCCAATTTAAAATCTAACGATGCCACTGATTATAATATCTATAATAATACTTTTAATTTTTTTTAAATAAATATAATCGTAATGTTTGTAATAATAAAATTATATTACAATATTGTATTGTAACTAGGCCATAATCGAATACAAGTCGAATAATGAAATATTCATATTCAATTCTTTTGAACGAATTGATAATCTACTTTCGTAATTATACCAATCGAATAATAATAGTATACTTTTAATATTCCTACTAATACATAGGCAATTATTTGATTCTTTCAAAAGAAACGTATACGAATAATATATTATTCGATTCGTACTTGAATAGGGTTAAAACAATATATGCTATAGTTTGTCCTTATTATAATAATAATTCATATTTTGACATGCACCATGTTCGTGAAATTTATTGGTATATAATTTAGGAAAATCGGGTTCTTAGTGAAATTTTATAGGGCTGGCGAAATTTTCCTCGATTAATTAAATTTTTTACAATTTGTAATTCGCTAATCTTATTTCTTAAATGTTCCATTTCAGGAACGTAATAAAAGTTAGAATAAAATAGAGTTCAGAAAAATTGAACTATTATTTAAATTACAAATCAACTTGATTATTAAAAATTAATAATGAATAACCATATCCAGATGAGCGGAAAAGCGGATATACACTAAATAAAGAGAACGTGATTTACACAGTGTATAATGTTTAATAATCAGGAGTTCTGGAGTTGGGGGGGGGGGGGTTAGATGAACTTAGTCAAAATTTTGAAAGCTCAACATATGTACAACACTCTCTCACAATGCAAATTTAGGATTTATAAAATTTCATTCAAGGAAAATAAGTTGGTTTCGATAGCATAATCTCACTTGCAATGTACTATATAACTAGAGTGCTTGCGGTCGTATTGAAACTTAAAAAATCCAAAATAACTCAAAATATATATATTTTGGTTAAAACAAAAAAAGGGTAATACTGGCGCGGGCCTAATTTTTTTTTCACAGCCCGCCCACTCACGGTGCCAATAAAAAAAATTAATGCCCTTTTACGCTTACTACTAAAAAAAATTTGACATAACCCTTCCGCTCACGAAAGACAATATTTTGATCACGCCCATAAATTCACGGTATTTTTAAATTTTTCAAAACATAATTGCTATACTTTTACGCTTTTTTGAATTTCTATATCATAGTTTTTATTTCTCTAATTCCACATTAATAACACAAAATAATTACAATTTATAAATTAAAATTTTTTATTTAGAAAAAGAAGAATATCCATGTTTTTAATTGTGTAACCTTTCACTAGTAATCAAACTAGCTAATTTTCTCAAAAAGGAAATAAATTTTCCTGCTTCTAAAACTCCAAAATATTGTCATTGTTATTTGTTTGGAGTGATGAATCTTTTAAGTTCATCCTCACAACTTTCATCGGTAGATGTTGATACTTCATCAGAATCATTTAGAAATTCTCTATATGTTAATTTAGAATATACGGTTTTTATGTGTGCAGGATGAATTAGAAAAGTTAAAAATGAGTGTTGGAATTGATTTATACATACATCTAATTTTATATCATTTCGCATTTTTAAGCTTGTTTTATATATATCTTCCTCTTCTATTAAAAACAAGACTTTTGAAATCCGGATCTATAAGCCTACATTATGTAGTGGCTGCATAACAAATCTTTCCTTTAAAAGAAATGTTGTCCTGTTTCTTAGGGTTTTGATTATTATTGTATCACCTTCAAAAGGTTGACAAAATTTTACTTATTTTTATTTCCATAGATAAACTTCATCTATTGTGGGACGAAACAATAATGAAATATAGGGGCTGGGATTAGGTAAACCCAGGGGCTTGGCAAACCACTTAATCTCATTATAAAATTAAATAGATTAGAAGTAATTTATGAATAAAAATTTTGGCAGAATTTTAAGATTTATTAAGTTATATTATCATATATCTATGTAAATTAAATTTAAAGTTTTAACCCTCTTTTATAATTTGAGAAAGTTTTGAGTATTTATTTTGTCTAGATATTATTTTAATCATAATTAAATTTGGAGCTAGTGAGGTTTGTTAAACCATACACTTCAAGTATGGCAGTTAATCATGAAAAAATTTCAAAATCTTGGAAAGACAATTTCATGGCTGTTCATGATTGGTATTAAGGATTTATGCTAAGAAATCATAATCTTCCCTTAAGATCCTTTTTTTAAATGTTCAAAATGTTTATTAAATTAACCAAAATTAAGTTTCATATATAATTAACTTCAATTTAAAAGTATTATGATTTTGAACCGTATCATTATTAATAAAAAAAAATGCTTTTCAATTTATTTTAGCTGAAAAAAACCAATAATTTAGGAAATTCCTCTTGCAGGGGTTTGCCTAACCCGCCAATGAGACTGGTTATGCTAAATTTCAACTTTTGCAAAAAATAAAATTTGAAAAATATAATTATATTTCTAAATATTTATGCACCTTTAGAGTATAATTATGGCTATCGATTCATATAGTGTTCTTTATAATATCTAGAAAAACACAGGCTAGCCCCAGTCTTCCCTACTGTAAAAATGTATGAGTATCATAGATGGAATAAAAACATTACTAAATATAATAAATTAGAAATTGTTTAAATAAAAGGAGGAGAATCACCCGAGGGGGGATGCTGAGAAAATGAGAATGATAAATCTTAAAGGAAATTCATTTGTCAATTGCGATCTCCAGTATTGGGTTTTCCCCTTATGATTTGATTAGATGAAGACCCTCAGAGCCGAAGATCCTTAAAGTATTGGTGGCAATGGGGCAGAAATGACGTTCCTTAGATATTAATATTAGGGCATATCTCTCCCCCATTAAAAAATAAATATTATTCAAAACTATATATTAGGTAATTTATTATCAATATAAATAAGTTATTCGAAAATAAATCTTATTCAAAACATCAGAGTTGACTTAAAAATAGGAAAAATGAAAAAAACATCCTTATTCACAAACAATCCTGTTAAAGGTTTTTTTATCGATTGAATGTGCTAAAACTTTTTAGTCAATGAAAAATTCGAAAGCTAAGCAGGATTGATATTTGTTCTTTTTTTATCAACCAATTTAGGGTCGCACAAATAATAATATGGTAACAAATGTGGTTTATTCGGATTAACAAAAATTAAAGGGAATACTTGTTTATCACTTTCGAATTTTATAAGGCTAGTTAATTTTGATAACAAAAGGGGCAATTAAAATTGCTCAATTAATTCCTATAACTAAAAAAGGGATGGTAAATATATCCTAAATAAGTTATAAGCACAACACTACTCCCCCGCTAGAATGTACATGAGAGGAAGAGAAGGGAGTTCGGCCTGTAGGGATTCGGGGAATCATCCCCCCCCCGGATTAGTTGTGGACAGGTGGGCACGTAAATTTTACACTAGTGGGTTTTGGATAGGTACAAATAAAATGGATTGTACTGCTTTGCTTTATCTAAAAAAACGAAAGTAAATAAAATATTTACATGAACTTTACAACTTCCTTTAATTTATAGTCATTTTTATATGTATTTTTCATATAAATTAGAAAATATACAAAAGTTTACGCCGAAAATTGTCAGAAATTTATAGGTAGGTACTATACATAGGCCGAAATACATTTCCGGTTAAATTGAATTAATGAATCGCCCTCGAATGATTTAAAATCGAGAGATTCCAAATCCCCATGGTTTCCATTATCGAGATTAAAAGTTATGGCGTAAAAATATATTCGATGTTAAAAGTAAGATCAATTATTATTATTTTTTATCATTTTTATTGACGTCCCCCTCTATATTTATTGTTATTTTAATTTTTTTAAATGTGACTGGTAGTTTTTGTAACTGGAAGTATATCTTATTGTGGTGTTTATATGTATTATTTTAGTTGACTTAATAAAAATGGATTCCATAAATTAGTAAGTAAAAATATATATGTCTTTATTAATATGAAAGGCCCTGCCCGTAATTTACAAAAATTGGGCTAGGCGTTGAAATTTTACAAAGAGTCAGCTCCTGCCAATTATTATTTTTTGTTTTTTTCAGGGTGGATCAAGGCTATTATGTGTTTCCTCTAGCTATCTATTTCTTTCTACAACAACCGTTTTATGCATCAATCGTGTTTGATATTTGTAATAGGATCATATTAAAAATAACTTGTTTCATTTTATGGGAATCTACTATATTATTCAAAATTTCTATCATAATAGTTAAAACACTATAAAATTAAAACACTTAAAATTAAATACACTTTCATAATTGTGTTCCCATAAAGGAACCATAATTATATCTAAAAATTTCTATTTGAATATTTTGACGTATATATATATATAAATTCTTTGGCATCGTTTGTAAGATGTCAAATTTAGGTGTCAAGATTTTTTAAAAACTTAAAGGTTAATGGCAAAAAATGACCGTTATTCATAGATTTAATATTTTAATTAGACAACTCTTGTAAATAAAAATCATTCTTTGGTGCATTTTTTTGGCTAACAAAATTTTAGTTTTTATTTTATACCATTTTTAAGTTTGCCCCTTG